AGAGAGAGAGAGAGAGATTCTACCGTTTATTCTCAGAGTAATATGACAAATATTTCATCGACATTGTAAATAGACGTAAACGATAAAAAGTAAAACTATTTTTAACACTTACTGTACGAATCGTAGCGACTACGAATATCTTTCAAATATTTTCAAGTTCATTGTTCGACACTGACATAAATAACTATGTCAGAAATTATAATTTAAATGAAAATTATTAATTGATTATATATATTTATAAAAATATCTATAACCAGTTTTCTTGCATGATTTTTAGAAATTTTAACATGATATATGACTTTTACGTCCTCACGTAATTATAATTTTAATTTATTTGTAAAAAATTAGTTTTTTTTCTAACAAATAAATGATTTAATTATTGAAATTGATTTACGATTTATAAAATTATAATATAAAAGAATTATGTAAAAGCATTACATTATTCTTTCATATCATAATTTTAATTAATCATATTATTAAAATGATTTTGATAATTAAATTATAACATACAAATATACATACAAATTGATACAAATTGATCGATCATTTAGAATTGAAATTATTACTTTCTGTCATTGATGAAAATTCGAAGATTACATATTTTTATTTTAATTACAAGTATGTTTACAGCATGAAAACTCACGAATAATGTTACTTCTTAAGAGTCATGAAAGTCATGAAAAATGTTACTTCTTAAGAAGAAAGTTGTACCTGTTAACTTCATGACCATTTACATTTATTTTTTATTATTTGTATTGTATGGAATTTGTTTATTTTAATGATATCTTTTTAAACATAGACATTACACGAAATAAGATGTCTGAGTTTACTAATAAATCAATGAAAATTAAATATTCAATTCATATATTAATCGTAAAAAAATTCCTCATTATTATTGCAAAATTAATAAATTAACGATTCAATATCATAATTCGATTTTACCTTTATTTGTACCATTTTTCGTACGTTCCTAAAGATTATTACATAAATTTTACTTCAAAAAGAGTTATTTATATTTTTAGCATTATACCTGTATGTAAGCGTTATGTAAAAGTAACATTCTACGTATATGGTATTAAATCGAAGTTAGCGACAAAATTATGTTTATTGTAAAGATTCATGTATAATTGGAATGTATATGTACATTGTATAATGGGTATGTACATGTGAAATTATGTCTTATAAATAAATTGCTATAATGATAGCAAAATTTCTATAAAATATATCTTTTTCAAATAATGTGCTAGCACTTTTTATCCTTTCATGACAAATTCTTAATATTTTTTCGCAAAATAAACCAATTATAATCTGATTATTTGAGAAAATTTGAAATTATCATCATAAATAATTCAAATTATTATATATCATAATTATACATAATATTAATTCTATACAAGTTCTTTACTATCTTCATTGACACGTAATTTGAATAAATATTAAAATGTTTTATTTATATTTCATTATCGAAAATATTGTTTATGAATATGTAGTAAATCTTCCTCTTAAATTATAGTATTACTGATCGGAAAATAATTTTATATGCAAAAGTAAATGAAAAAAAAGAATCATATTTTTTAAAATTCTGTTTAGAGTAAAAGATAAAATCTGGTTTTAAAAACCTTTTAAATATATAATACTCTGAATTGGAATGGTCCACAACTTAAAGTTTCATTTTCAAGGACATATTTAGTTAAGAATTGGCTTGGTAATTTTAATAAATTTCTTAATTAAATTTTCTCAGGAAGGGAACGTTAAAATTTTATTTTACGTTTTTTAGTTATGTTCGTATATATGTGGAGTAACTTTTGTTGATTATTTATGATTGTACAGCTTGAAATTAGCCAAATTCCTCAGATTTGACTTTTTTTGAAACGTAGTCTTAAATGAAAAAAAAAAAAAATTAGTCTCTCCTTTTAATTTATTTTTGTACGTAGAACCATCTTTTAAGCGATTATACTACAATTTCAGGGACATCCTGTATAAATTAATTAATTAATTGTACAGATTTACATATATATAACTGTAGGTATTTTAATTCAATTCAATAATTCTAATTAAAGAATACAACTCCTAATTTTTTATTTTTTATTAAAACAATATTTGAAATTTAAGCTATCTAAACTATCTATAATGAAATAAAAATATTTGAATAATTAGATCTACAAAATAATTCATCATATCTTATTTATAAAACGATTTCAATTATATACAAATATTTATACAGCGAATAAGTTTCGGGGGTTGCAATATCGATATTGTAAATCAAATTTCTGTATTTATACCAATCCTATATGATTCATGATATTTATATTTTAATACTTTTTTACCCGTCGAAAAAATATTTCGGACATGAAATTATTTTATTTCATGGAATGATTATTTGTATTTCGAGTTGTTTCACTATTTCAATATTAAAATTAAAATTGCAACACTGAGATTGCTGATTTGATCCTGAAGTGGGTCGCGAACCGTGATGGCGCCACGTTTATCTTTACCCCTCCCCTTACCGAACTGTCAAATCGAGGAACATTGTTTGTATACGAAATTTTTATCAGTTTTCAGCCTGAAGTACGATCCGAAAAGTTAAGACAAGTAATAAAATCAGGTTCGTACTCTTGCCTATTTTCACGATGAAATATATCAATGTTATTTTACGAAATCTTCCGATCATCGTAGATGAATGAAAATGTTAAGAGTTCGATGTGACCGGCGCTGCTACCACCTTTCTGTCAATTTGTTCACGTCGTTTTTGCATTTTTCTTCATGATACCCATTCATTTTTTGATTTTTGATACACCACGCGAAATGATTTTCTTTTCATCTTTCACGAGATAAAGACGCATTTATTAAAATACATTAATTAAATGCTGTTACATTTTGACCTACGTATAATTGGGTTCGCCTTATTTCTCTTAACCTAGCTGAGAAGTTAACCATTTACCTACTATTATCTTCTGAAAAATTAAAATTTTCCTACGAATGAAATTCAGTGTTAAAATTAAGTCTGGCGTGAATAATTTATTGCGTAATAAGTGGAACTTGACTTATAAAGTTCGTACAATTTAAAATTATCACTTAATATCTTGTTGCAATTATTTTCTACATAAATTTTTCATAACAAAATTAGACGCTTGTTTTTAAAGTATATTTTTCTTTATATTATAAATCTTTTGTAATAAAATTTTTGCACTTTAATATGATGTTTATTGATTTATAATGTCATGACATTTTTAAAATTTGTTAAATTATTTCAGAGAAATTATTAAGTGAAGATATTGTTCTAATGAAGAAAGCTAATAGTAATTTTTGTTAATGAAAAAAATATAAATTTAAATTAAACACAAAGCCTGTAAATATCAAAAAATATATATGGAAATCTTTCAGAGATAAAATTTATTATTATAATTATTTTAGGATGAGTCGTACAATGGATGAAAAGGAAGAATTGGTTAAAAAATCTTTATTTAGTTTTGTAAGGAAAGAGGTACCCAGTGCCCAATTAAGGTAAACATAGAAAAGAAAAAACTAATGAATTTTTTTCATTTACAATTTAGTAAATGTGTACACATGTGTGTGTGTATGTTTATATGTTTTCACAATTTCTTTCAGTTTGATAGATGACATTGTCTTGAGTTATGTAGTGAGTATGGTAGAAGAAAGTGCACTTGAAGAAGATCTGGATGTTGATGGACTATGTGAAATGGTTTCTGCTTGTCTTCCTGAGTTTTCTACCATTGAGAAAGAAGCAGTGTCCAAATGGCTGTTGGATGTTGAAAGTAAATTACGGCAAGAAAGTAAAGAGAATGAAAATTGTCAACCCCAGGATCCCTTGAGTCATATTAGTTTAACAGCTTTATTACCTCCTGGTACACAGAGAATGAGAGTTCACCATCTTTCAGAAACTAGCGATGCTGGAAGTGATTCCAGTGGAGAATATTTTTCGGAAGTAAATTTCTTTCACTTTCTATTATGACAACTATTATAAATTTTAAATTACAAATATTTTATTTATTAGGAATCATCTTGGCATCAAGTAGCACTTTTGCAAGAAATGTTCCCAGCTGCAAGTCCAGCAGAAGCCAGACATTGCTTGGCAGTTGCTGGTGGTGATATAGCAAAAGCAGCACAGCTTGCGCTTCATAGACAAGAAGCGGGACAGAGTATCGTTAGTAACCTTACTTTTCTAACAGTAAGTATTTACTTTTTCTTCTTTTAAAGAATTTTACTTTAACATAAATTTTATCTTATGGTATTTTGTATGATACTTGTTTTAATCTAAAATCTTGTACATCTACGCACGATGTCTTTTCATAGTAGCGAATCAATTTTGAGTTAAATGAAAGAAAATCATGTAATTATCTTCTGCAGCCAAATGGTCGTAACAAGGCTAGAGTGAATGACGAGGAATTGAAATCACGTATCATAGCACGGTATAGTTATGTCGATAGGGATGACGATTCACGCGAGCATCGTCCAGTCGCACCGAAAACAGAACCAAAAAAATTAGTACGCTATTTAGATAACAAGATTGTGAGTGTGAAGGGAGAACGATACACTGAAGTAAGAAGGGGCGGCGAAGAGGAGGATGGCAATGAAGGTGGGAGAAAAAGAGGTCATTGCCGACCGTAACCAGCCCCTTTGCCTCCACCCCCCGATCCACCCCCTTGGAGGCATCTGATTTCAAATTAAAGCTTTCACTTAGATTCTCTTGTCTTGCTTATAAAGAAATGCGGACAGGATGTTGAATTTCTACATACTTGCAAGCATACTTCTTTTTTTCAATTGTTTTTGTCTTATTTACAGTGACTTTTATGGATTTTAGAATTTTTTTTTTATCTTTTTGTGCGTGATATTATTCATATTGTGATTTAATGCAAGAGATTTGCATTTTGACAAATCACATATATGCATATGACGTACCGTTCGTGGTATGGAACAATGAAAATTTCTTCCTAACGGTACATTGCTAATATAATGAATTATTATTATTATTACGTCGCAGTTTAAGTACCTGTTAACGTATAATTAACTTACGTTTGAAATTTTCTACTCTTTATCAAGTGTACAATGATCACAAAGTAAATTTATGATTTTTAGTTTAGAGAATTTTTTTTATGTTAACGAACTTATAGGTTAATTAAAATGTAATTGCAAAAAGCAATTTTGTAATATTTTATTGTTTTTAATAGTTTTTTAGACTTTAAGATCAGCGCTATAATTTAAGAATTTCATTTATGAATGAAATGACCACTATAAGTTCGTTTATTAAACTTAAAACTCAATTTCTGCAATATAATGTCGATAATTTTGCATTTTCACACATGCATACACTTTACTATTAAAATAATATGCACATTTTATTTATTAAACATGTCGTGTGTCTCATGTTTTTCAATGAATATCCAATTGTTACATTAACTATTATAATTAAGTCTATGATGTGCTGATATTTCTTCAGATTAAAATTGTATTAGGTACCCAGAAAAGTTTTTTTCGATTTTTGTTGATCACAATTCTAGGAATTGACAAATTTTTGGAGGTGGGAAAAATTACTGTTATTACTATTAACTATTCTATTGTGATAAGTCAAGATAATGGAAGTTGGATGAAAGATTATGTCCCATTCATCACATTTATCAGATCTTTCATTAACAGATTTTCATTTCTGAATTTGGATAACCATATGAGAAATAAATAGTTCAATAATGAAAATAATCTAAAAGAGAAAGTATCAAGATTTTCCGCGATAAAATAAAAGGTTTTTATAAAAAACGGTATTTATAAATTATTAAACCGTTGGTAGAAAGTTATAAAATGTGAAGGTTTGATATTTTGATAAGTAAATTCATTTTAAAATAAAAATGTTTCTGTAATTTCTCGTATATAAAAACAGCAAGAACTTTTTTGGATACCTAATATATTTTATAATGTTAATAGTAAAATTATAATAGTAAGATTAATTCAATTAATTGTTTATAAATTGAAATTGAGTGAAAAATGTCTCGCTCTATCTTTCGCTTTCTGTTTGTCTTTTTCTCTCTTTCAGATGTGATGAAGAAGTACGTAAGAACGATAAAAATAATAAGTGATATAATATCTTTGCAAGGAGTTCGATTCTTTGCAATAGCATTAAAAATAAAATGATATATAACAGA